AGTTCAAACAGATACCATTAATACAGGTAACGTGTGGAGGACAGAGGAGCCTCTTAAAGAAGTTGTTACAGGTCTGTGAGAGCCAGAAATCTTGCTTGTTTGTAGGTGACCAAATACTTATTTTACCGAGGAATTTACCAATTAATTCTTTAAAAATCCTACAATGTGATTTTCTGATTTTTTCTTCTCATTTTGTCTCTCATAGTTGAGGTATACCTATGATGAAAATTACAGGCCTCTCTCATCTTTTTAAGTGGGAGAACTTGCACAATTGGTGGCTGACTAAATACTTTTTTTCCCCACTGTATATATTTCTTCTCATTATTATAATTTTATTCAAATATTGTCTGTCTTATTTACTATTAAGCTTTTTCAAACTAAACTTGCTTACACTACCATCTTAAATAATATTTCTGACGAAAAATATTTTGTATTACTTTAAAATAAAGACAAATTTAATTAGCCTGTTCTACTTACGTTTGTGTCGAAATCTACCACAACTTTGCTTTAAAATGCGTCGCAAGATCTCCTAACTGAAGGTCACATGATCACAAACGGAAATCACTTCCGTGAAGTGACCATCGCATGTTCCCTTCACTAACGGACTTCTGGAAGGGCACTTCGTGAAAGGGATTCAGTTGTTCGCTTTCATTTGGAACATCCCTACAAATGGCGTCCCCTTCCCGAAGTGCCATTCAAAGGCGCAAAAAAGCCTTTTGGAATTCGCCCTATATATATACATACAATACATTATATATATTGTTATACCTACTTTAATATTACATTTTTAGTGTGTGTGTATATATAATGTATTTTATGTTTTAATTACTTTTAGATCATTTGTTTTAATTCAATTTCACATTTTTATCATCTCAAACTCACTGATTAAAAACTGCATCCTCTTAAATTATCCTTGTAACTAAATTGGGATTTTAGTTATTATACCTATTATTTTTATTATTTAAATCATATTTGGACTTTTTAGAAAATAAAATGAATGCATTTTAATTAGACATTTTTATTTTAACTTTTGAGAACTCTGAAATTGAGATTAATAATACCTTTTTTAATATACATTTTTTAGTACATATAATTTATAATAGGTTTTAATTACTTTTAGATAATAATATATTATATATGTGTTTAATAACTTTTGCATTTGTATCAAGTTTGAGATTCAAAGTGTATTAGTAAACGTGTTGGTATTAGCTGATATTATGACTCAAATGATCAATATCGATCTGATTAATCTGATATTGTGCAAAGATCATAACTAGTGGTCGACCGATATTGTTTTTTTTTTTTTGACAGCCGATGCCGATATCTTGGAAAGCAGGGTGGCCGATATAAAGCCGATATCATTTTTATTATTTTAATATTTAAGAAATTTGAAATTTGAAAATGGATTAAAAAACAAATTTGTAAAATAAAACGTACTTATACTTTAGATGACAAAGTATTTTCCACAAATAAATGTTTAATTAAAATATAATTAAAAAGGATTGGGAATACTTTTTTTTTTTTTTCTCTCAAATAAAGCCAAGGTAACACTCATTTTACATACAGCACACAGTGAAAATGATATGAATATGACAGTGGGCAAATGCATGAAGCCCAGCATAATTTGAAATCACAAACTTAATGTTTAAATCTTTCAATTTGCACGGAACGAAAGCCACGCAGAGAACACGCATGCAGGTCACATGTACACTTTACAAGATCTCACAACTGGATTCGAAGTTTGCAAAGTTTGTGAAATTAAATGTTCATTAGCATTCAAAGATTTGTTTAAATGATGTTAATGCATATTTGCTGAATGCTGACATCAAACGAGAAAGTATTATAATGTTTGCCTTTCTATTATTAATAATACAAAAGCAATCGTTATAATATTTTTTGTATACATTTTAATTCCTTTGTTTAACAGTTCTATCTGATTATTAGACAGACTTCTATCCGTATTAGACAGAACTGTTAACGACGACGGTGAATGTGAGCGTCGTCAAAATAAAAGTCCCGCCTCTAACGCATCGGCCAAACAGAAAAACGTATCGGCCAATGCCGATATTTGAAAAATGACAAATATCTGCCGATATATTGGCCTTGGCGATATATCGGTCTACCACTAATCATAATAGGATTATTTAATTCAATTCAAACACTGATATTTCTGCACCAGGTTTCAGACGTCCTGAATCTTTTCTACTGTACATTGTTGTTTTGATGCCTGATGTTGCTTGTTTAAATCTCACATCGGTGCGACATTGTGGAAATTACAAATGCGTATTTTACATTTACTAAGATGTAATTAAAATCAAAAGTGGTTCTGTTAACATTAGTTAATGCACTGTGAACAACATGAACTATGAAAAAAAGATGCCTTGTTGTTAGTTAACATTAGTTGATGCTTAAGCTGTTAGAGCTTATTGTAAAATATAATTGTTTCTGTTTTCATTGTGCTTTTGCTGAATCCGTTGGAATCACTGTTGTTTTTTTGGCATCTGCTAAATGCATGAATGTGAATGTTTCCTGCGTCAGGTGTCATTTCTCAACGTTCAAGCAGTGTGAGGAGTGGCTGAAGCGCTTGAACAGAGCCATAGCACATCCGGCCCGTCTGGAGGAGCTGTTTGCGCTGGCGTATCACGCCTGGTGTTTAGGAGGAAACACGGACGATGAAGAGCAGCACCTGCACCTGTGCAGACCAGGTACACACACACACATGAGCATCATATTTGATCATCAGGCTTTTATGGCTCATACAGTCTTGATAGAGTGAGAATATGGAGGAAAAAACAGCTAATTTTTATTCAGAGACTAGGCATGGGCCGATTACCGGCATACAGCACACAGTGAAAATGACATGAATATGACAGTGGGCAAATGCATGAAGCCCAGCATAATTTGAAATCACAAACTTAATGTTTAAATCTTTCAATTTGCACGGAACGAAAGCCACGCAGAGAACACGCATGCAGGTCACATGTACACTTTACAAGATCTCACAACTGGATTCGAAGTTTGCAAAGTTTGTGAAATTAAATGTTCATTAGCATTCAAAGATTTGTTTAAATGATGTTAATGCATATTTGCTGAATGCTGACATCAAACGAGAAAGTATTATAATGTTTGCCTTTCTATTATTAATAATACAAAAGCAATCGTTATAATATTTTTTGTATACATTTTAATTCCTTTGTTTAACAGTTCTATCTGATTATTAGACAGACTTCTATCCGTATTAGACAGAACTGTTAACGACGACGGTGAATGTGAGCGTCGTCAAAATAAAAGTCCCGCCTCTAACGCATCGGCCAAACAGAAAAACGTATCGGCCAATGCCGATATTTGAAAATATCGATATATCGGTCTACCACTAATCATAATAGGATTATTTAATTCAATTCAAACACTGATATTTCTGCACCAGGTTTCAGACGTCCTGAATCTTTTCTACTGTACATTGTTGTTTTGATGCCTGATGTTGCTTGTTTAAATCTCACATCGGTGCGACATTGTGGAAATTACAAATGCGTATTTTACATTTACTAAGATGTAATTAAAATCAAAAGTGGTTCTGTTAACATTAGTTAATGCACTGTGAACAACATGAACTATGAAAAAAAGATGCCTTGTTGTTAGTTAACATTAGTTGATGCTTAAGCTGTTAGAGCTTATTGTAAAATATAATTGTTTCTGTTTTCATTGTGCTTTTGCTGAATCCGTTGGAATCACTGTTGTTTTTTTGGCATCTGCTAAATGCATGAATGTGAATGTTTCCTGCGTCAGGTGTCATTTCTCAACGTTCAAGCAGTGTGAGGAGTGGCTGAAGCGCTTGAACAGAGCCATAGCACATCCGGCCCGTCTGGAGGAGCTGTTTGCGCTGGCGTATCACGCCTGGTGTTTAGGAGGAAACACGGACGATGAAGAGCAGCACCTGCACCTGTGCAGACCAGGTACACACACACACATGAGCATCATATTTGATCATCAGGCTTTTATGGCTCATACAGTCTTGATAGAGTGAGAATATGGAGGAAAAAACAGCTAATTTTTATTCAGAGACTAGGCATGGGCCGATTACCGGTTTCAAGGTATACCGCGATTTGAAAATGTCACTGTTTCAAAACTGCTAATATTTTCCGTTATACCGTTCCTGCGGTATGCGCTGTTTTTCATGTCTCCTCAAAGACTGAAAGTGTAGGAATCCCTCAGGTTGAGTGCAGTGTAGAGAGTAATGGTGCGTTCACACCAGACGCGAAGCGAATATGCGCATCGCGCCACTCGCTCTAGATTACTCGTGGCATGTTTTTCGTGTCACTCGCGCGAATAAAAACAGCGCGATCAACCATGCTAGAGATAACTACAATACCTGTTGTCAAAAAGTCCCAAATACAATGGAAAGCCAAACGCCGACGTGTCTGGGCACCATCCAGAGGAGGATGAATAACGTTAGGATCCTGTATTAATGTGTGTTACATTTTACTACTGTATATATACACTGATATTACTATTATTTGTATTATTGATAGCAGCATCTCTGTAGCCATGCTAATTAAATACAACTTCGCCTCTATTCGCGTCTTTGCATTGACTTTGTATGTAATCTACTCGCCCGAATCATTAAATTTGCGTTTGGTGTGAACGCACCATAACACGACCCTCCTCCTGTGGGTCCGAGCGAGCGGTCAGTCACGTGTGTGTATGACGGCCGAACTTAAGGAGCTGCCCCTGGAACTTACGCGATCGGCAACCGGACGTTTTTTGTCTTATTGCAAGCAGCTCGTCTCTGTTCTGAACTTGCACAAACTGCGTTGCAATTCAATCGTTTTCAAAAATGTAATTTATGTGAAAATATGAAGTCTGTAAACTCCCGTTAACACAGGCCAGACACGTTGAAGACGAACGCACAGAGAAACATATTGTAGCAGGCAGATCACTCACTGTTCATGATGCACGAACTATTGGAAGAAAATCCTCAATATTGCTTTGGGGGTTTATATGAATGTGTTTCTGAGGAGAACTGACTGTCTTCCGAAAAGTTTACATGGTATTTTCTTTTAATCTCGTCTCTGTATAGTTCATATTAAAGCAGTGTTTCAGCGCATTGCTGCATTGTTTACGGCGGTAACCAAGGAAACACTGTATCTGCTGTTTCATGAGCGCCTCCTGCTGACAGAAAGTGAGTCTGCATCTCATTCAGAGCTTCTGCTGTTTGCTTCGTTCAGGCATGTAGTATAATTTCACAAAGCTAGTCAGAACATTGTTTTTGCTTCAAATTGGGTTATTATTAAATCAAATTGTGTATATGAAATTATATAACTAAATTATATGAAATGATATGTATATGAATTATATAACTAAAATTAAATGACTGTAATTACAGATTTAGGTTAAATAAAGAAGTCAGTCTTTATTTTTCTTCTTTTTAAGAAACAAATCGTAGAAAAATAAACAAATTCTACTGTTCCTAATATTCTGTATGTTGCTCAAAAACAAAATATATTGTGTTCAGCAGAAAACATTTTTTTTAATTTTAAAAAGAACACATTTTAGAGCGGTAACGACAATACCGCGAAGCCGTGATATTTTTGCTTAAGGTTATCATACTGTCGAAATCTCATACCGGCCCATGCCTATCAGAGACTCAAACGGAGCAAAAATATGAATTGGCTGCAGATGCTGATATTTATGAAATTCTGATGCTTGTAATGTAAATCAATGAGATCTTTATAAAAGTCAGGGGCGTTTCCTCCGAGTAGGCAAGGGAGGCAGTATCTCCTCAAAATATTTGATTTGATAGTACAAAAATAAAACAACGCCACTATTACAAAATATTAGGGCTGTGCAATTAATCGAAATTCAGTTTCGATTTCGATTTCTGCCTCCAATGATTATGAAAATACAGTAATCGAGATAAAAATATTATTGCGTCCCATTCCGCCACCTTTCCAGCGGTGCTCTTTCGTTCCTCCATAAAAGCCCAATTTCGATGAGATTGAAATGATCCAAACATATAATACAATGCAATCCAGTGCTGATTGAGATATATATATATATATATATATATATATATATTGAGCAATGAGATCTTTATAACAGTACAGCAGATACTGACATAAAATGCTCACCTTTCCAGTCGTCGCTCTATATCTCCAATAATATGTCTTAGTAAGATGAGATTGAAATGATCCAAACATATAATACAATGCAATCCAGTGCTGATTGAGATATATATATATATATATATATATATATATATTGAGAGAAATAAAGGCTCCTCAGAAGATGTGAGATGTTCTGGAGGCTTGTGAAGATCATTCCTCCGCTGAGGAACAGTGAAAGTAAAGCTTCTGGAAACAAACGCTCCTCAAAAGATCCTGAGGATCAGATTTGAGACTCTAAAACATGATTGATGGAGAATCAAGTAAAGCTGAGCTGCTTCAGTCCAGTAAGTGTTCATCTGGAAATATTACTGCAGTTATTCTGACGCTTACTTGATAAAAATCAATAAAGATTTGACAGCAGAAAGACACAAGAAGCACCAGCCGAAGGTGGACATTTGTACAATTACACTAAAAAACTCTAAACTATCAATCAGACGACAGAAGGCATGGAGTAGACTGAGTGCGACAGGTTTTTTTGATCATGCTGATCATAAATGTGCATATCAATTACAGTACAGTAGGCTTCATAGGGTTAACCGCATAATTTTCAGATACTTTGTTCTCCAGAACTGCAGACTGATCCGAAGCCACTGTGTTTGTGTCTCTCAGGTGATCACGTGCGGCACCGGTTGGAGGTGGAGGTGAAGCGGATGGGATTCGACATGCAGAACGCCTGGAGAGTGTCTGATATCAACAGCAACTACAAGTAAGATTGAAGCGTGATGATAATGGACTGAATCCGGCTTAAATTGATTTCACTAATATACTGAAACCTGTTGAACAGCGACTCGAGAGCCAGAAATCAATATTTCTTTTACTATTAGTATTTTACTTACTATTGATGGACTTTGCAACATTGATTCTGTTGTTGAATTAACATTGAACTAAATTGAGCTGAATATTGTGTAGGGCTGCTTATGGAAAACATCGTAATCATGGTTCTTTTGGTCAATATTGTAATCACTATTAGGAGTGGGTGATATGACTAAGTTGTTATGCAGTACCAAATATAATTCTTATACAATATCAAATAAATATAAAATATATTTTACTGGAAATAAGGTTTTAGATAACAGTGAAATTTCACAATTATGGATACCAGTTTCAAAACTAATATACTTGGTAAATTAATGCAAGTAAAAAAAGCCTCAAACAATTACTGAAGACGAGTAAACAAAGAAAATTACTAACAATATGACAAATAAAACGGACAAAAATGAAATAAAGTCTATGGCTGCTCGATTATGGCAAAAATCATAATCACAAAGGTTAATTTGGCAAATATTGTAATCGCCATTATTTAGCACGATTAGGAGTGGGTGATGTGGCCAAATTCTTATATAATATCAGATATAATTCTTATACAATATCAAATATATATAAAATATATTTCACTGGAAATAAGGTTTTAGGTACCAGTGAGATTTCACTATTCTTGATACCAATTTTCGAAACTAATACTAGGTTAACTAATGTAAACAATTATTGAACACAACTAAACAAAGAAAATTTCAAACAATAGGACAAATAAAACAGACAGCAAGATATGAATGAAATAATAATGCTTTAAGTTTTTCTTGTAAGTCTGTCTAACAGTATAATATTCAACTAATAGCCGACTACATTTGGCACAGTAATCATTTTATCTCCAATATCATGTTTTCTTAAACGTTGAAAGCCGAAATCAAAGGCAAAACTTAAATTTGATTCGCTGCTTTATGGCTGAATAATTGTTCATGGTCATGTTTATTGCTGTGAAGCTGCTTTGTTTTGTGTAAAGTGCTAAATAAATAAATGTGACTTAACTTGACTATTTCAAATCTTCATAACATAACCAGACAGTGTTTTGCTGTAGGTGTAGTAGGGCTGTCAAAAAAAATTAGAATTTCAAATATTCGTCGAATTTAAATAAAAATCCATATTCGAATGCAAAAACGTTGCATTTGAATTTTAGGTGTGCGTTAAGGAGGCAGCCTTATCAGCGGCGCACGAGATGTGACGACGATGTAAGTGTCGTTGCATTTTAATGTTTTTCTTGGCTTATCCAGCTGAACTCACTAGATGCAGCGCTGCTACGTAGTTCATTCAAAATATTGCGGGAAAAGAGAAAATCAATGCGAAGATGATGTTGTTTATGTCAAAACTGAAACCAAGCCGTTCACTCAGAACGCATATTTATCGCATTTTCTAGAGGGACATCTATCACCGTTGCACTCGCATCTCGCACAAAAGAGCCACATGTTTAGAAAGCTATGGAAAATTTATGCAAGTTCAACTTTTAAAAAAACATGTCTCGAGACTTTATGGCAGTTTTTCCCCATCCCACTGCATCTGGTGTTTTTAAATGGAAAAAGTACTCTTTGTGATTGGTTTTCGGTCCTTTGTATTAAACTATACATACATGATGCCGTTTTGTTTCTAATTGTTTAAGCAACTTAATTAATTATATATGGTTTGTAAACATTATTACACATGGGATTTGTGCGCCTGTTATGATGTTAATATTATTCAAACAACAATAATGACAAGAAATAAAGAAAATAACTCACTTTAACAATTAGAAATATAAGCAGTGTTTACTTGAAAATATTTGGAAGCTACATGACATTGTTTTAATTTCATTTGGAAATACATTAGTCGAGTTTTTTTTTTTTCACAATACACATTGTTTCAAAGAAACTACAGAAAATTATCAATGTTTTTATCTTAATATCTGTGTTTATTAAAAAGTGAACAATTACTAGTATATGATGATGATATTTTATTTCAAACTAAATTTTAATATATTGTTTTATTTATATATTTATATTATTTACATGTTGTATGTGTGTTTTATATATATATGCTAATATGGTAATAAATAAATATTGATATTAATATTTACATTTTAATTTATTTGTGTATAAAGGCATATTTTTAAATCTGTCTAAATATATCAAATATCAAACTGAAGTAACTCATGATATTGCTGTATTTATTAATATATTTGTTGTTGGAATATTGTTAAATTGCTGAATATAATATATTTATTGGTATTGTGATATTATGATGTTATTATATTGTTATATATTACTTCCTAGTATGTTTTGCAATGGCAAGACCCTTTGCTGCTGATATGGTGTTAAATAATATTAATTAATAAACAAATTCAACGTCAATGCTAGTTGTGTTTATGTCTGTGAGTTTCAGCGTCTAACTCTTGTCGTTGTAGGTTGTGTTCGAGTTACCCACAAAAACTGCTGGTGCCCGTCTGGATCACAGATAAGGAGCTGGAGAGCGTGGCCTCCTTCAGGTCCTGGAAGAGGATTCCTGTGGTGGTGTACAGGTGAGAGAAGCAGCTCATCTGTCTCCTGGCCTCCTGCACAGCTGACAGTGACTGATGATGTCTGCGGTGTGTCCCGTCAGGCACCAGCGTAACGGGGCGGTCATCGCCCGCTGCAGTCAGCCGGAGATCAGCTGGTGGGGCTGGAGGAACACCGAGGACGAGTATCTGGTGACGTCTATAGCGAAGGCCTGCCAGCTGGACGCCGGGCCGCGGGCCTGCAGGACCAGAGGAGACGGACCGGACTCTTCTGACAGTGACTTCGGTAAGACAAAACTCAGACCGAGGACTTGAAAGTGCTTTTGATATTTTATAGTCTGAAATACATTCAATGCAAAAGCCCTCTATGACTTTTGTAGCTAGACGTCTCATTATTTGATAGTGAAAACATGTTTAGGGCCCTATGAAATCAGTTTTTTCTGGATTCAGTTTTTCCACATTTATATTTTCATTCTATTTTTCATTTTAAGTTATTAAACATTTAACAAAAATAATAATAAAAATAATTTTAAATTTTAGACTAAATTTTAGTTATCAAAAAGCATGTCTTATTAGTTGAAATCATAACAAAAATATTAAAATACCAAAAGAAAATAATTTTTAGGTTTTTTTCAAATTCTGTTTATTCCATTAAAATTTTTTCCACATTTCCATTTTATTTCCATTTTATTTAATGGTTAAATTAAATTTTAGTTATCAAAAATGTTATTCATGAAGCTTATACAATTTAGCAATTTATTAAACATTCTTAATTAATCGTTAGATTAAATTTTATTTATCAAATTGAGTTTTATTTTTCCCCAAATTCAGTTTTTTTTTTTTTTTTATCTTTCTGGATTATGTTTTAATGCCATTTTAATGGTTGAATTAAATTTTAGTTATCAAAAAGCATGCCTAATGATTTGAAATCATGCATTTTATACAATTTAGCAGTAATTTATAAAAAGTTTAACAAAAACAACATTTTTAAGGCCCTATGAAATCAGTTCCCCCCCTGATTCTGTTTTATTTTCCCCAAATTCTGCATTTTGTTTGAATTTTTCTGGATTCTGTTAGAATGGTTTCATTACATTTTAATAATCAAAAAGCATGTCTAATAAATTGAATTCATGAAATTTTTATAATTTATTAAATGTTGTACAATAGGAGGACCTTAATAGATGGGCTTTATTTTTTCAGAAATTCTGTTTTGTGTGATTTAACTTTTCTGGATTTATGGTTTAATATGAATGAATTTTTGCTTTTTAGTCAAATAAAAAATAATCTGGATTTTTCTTCTGAATTTTTGTTGCTTTTTGTAGTTGTATGTTTTTCATTGGAAGTAGGGGTGAACAATATGACCATAATCTTATTTCACGGTGTAAGAAATTTTATTTTGCGGTAATGATCTATATATAATTATTTTTGTTGATTTTTATTAGGAACTAATTCACTAATTGAAAATAAATGCATTGCATTAACAGTGCTTGCATTGCATTATAAATAGTTATTTTTGTTGTTTAATTATTATTATTATTTTTTTTAATATGAACTAATTCACCAATTGAAAAAATGCATTGCATTAACTAATTGCAATGGTTCCTCAGTTGGAACCATTTAACACACAGTTTCATTATTAAAAAATTCCATTATTATATTTTACCTTCCAGAGTTCATTTCCAAAGTATTCAGTCAAAATGAAAAAAAAAAATTATTAATAATATATAAATACATTTTAATGCTTGATTTGTAACACAAGACAAAACGAGAGTATCATTGCGAATGTAATGCATCAAAGTAATCACGATTATTTTCGTGGAACCATTGGAAGCCAAAACCATAACTGAAAATTAAATTTGGTTAATAAATTAATATATTTATTGTATGTAATCTTTGTATTTTGACTCACAGTAGAGTTTTGGATGAATAAACCTCACTTATCTTCTGTGAAAAACACAGTTAATTAAATCATTCAGAGCAGGATGGTTCTGTTCTGATCCAATAATCATTTATCCTGCGTTTCATTACTTAATGCAATCACTCCTATTAATCAAACGTGTTCCACTGAATGCAGGCGTGTCTGTTTTTGCTGAGTCGAGACTCATCTTTAACTCTTGCGCTCGGTTTTGGCCGGCCTCTGTAAAATCTTAATGGCTTAAAGTGAATTGGCTGTCATGGTCGTGATGCCAGAAGTTTCTCCGCATTGATTTTCCAGCGGGACAGACTGAAGAATTATAACTGCTCTTGCGGCGCATTAAAACGAGTCTGACTCTGTTGTGTCGCTCATCTCATCCTCCGCCTCCTCTCTGGCGCACTGATACTGGTTTCCGCAGTATGCCGAAGGGCTGGTATTGTGAAGAAGTCACGATTCAAGACGCCGCAGAGCATCATAATATCATAATTAGATCACGATTGGAGCTGCGCCAGATGAGCGGTTCACTTCACTTTTGTTAATATCTGTTTATATATACCTTATTAAATGAATCTGTGTTGTCTTTAATGTCAAATTCCTAGGCCTCTCAGGCCATCCAAGATTAGGATGAGTTTGTTTCTTCATCAGATCTGGAGAAATGTAGCACTGCATCAGTGTCTCAGCAGTGGATGCTCTGCAGTGAATGGGTGCCGTCAGAATGAGAGTCTGATAAAAACATCACAATAATCCACAGCACTCCAGTCCATCAGTCAACATCTGGAGAAGACAAAAGCTGAAACAAATCCAGCATTAAGACGTTTTTTACTAAAACACGAGTCCATAATAACGCTTCCTCCAGTGAAAAAGTGTTCTGGTGTGAATCAGGAGAGAAATCTGCACAGATCAAGCAGCGTTTAAACAGCTCTAAACACATATGTGGCTGGATTTTGATGTGAGAGACAACAGCAGATGCACTTTTCTACTGGAGGAAGCGTTATTATGGATTATGAACTCGTGTTTTAGTTAAAAACGACTTCATGATGGATTTATTTGAGCTTTTCTCTTCTCAAGTCATTAACTGATGGACTGGAGTGGTGTGGATTATTGTGATGTTTTTATCAGCTGTTTGGACTCTCATTCTGACGGCACCCATTCACTGCAGAGCATCCATTGCTGAGCAAGTGATGCAATGCCCTCTGTTTTGCCCCCTTATCTTAAATTTGGGGGGTTTTTTTGTTCATTTTAATGACACCAAGCCCCCATTAATTTTCGACCCCGCTATGCAGTATGTTAGTATTCTGTTCTAATGGCATCGACTCTCTTTCCTCAGACTCTTCTCTGGGTCCATAATAACGCTTCCTCCAGTGAAAAAGTGTTCTGGTGTGAATCAGGAGAGAAATCTGCACAGATCAAGCAGCGTTTAAACAGCTCTAAACACATATGTGGCTGGATTTTGATGTGAGAGACAACAGCAGATGCACTTTTTCACTGGAGGAAGCGTTATTATGGATTATGAACTCGTGTTTTAGTTAAAAACGACTTCATGATGGATTTATTTGAGCTTTTCTCTTCTCAAGTCATTAACTGATGGGCTGGAGTGCTGTGGATTATTGTGATGTTTTTATCAGCTGTTTGGACTCTCATTCTGATGGCACCCATTCACTGCAGAGCATCCATTGCTGAGCAAGTGATGCAATGCCCTCTGTTTTGTCCCCTTATCTTAAATTTGGGGTTTTTTTTGTTCATTTTAATGACACCAAGCCCCCATTAATTTTCGACCCTGCTATGCAGTATGTTAGTATTCTGTTCTAATGGCATCGACTCTCTTTCCTCAGACTCTTCTCTGACGGGTTGTCCCGCTCCTGATGCCAGCAGCGCAGCGCAAAAATTACTGATTCTGGATGCCCGCTCTTACACCGCCGCCGTGGCGAATCGTGCTAAAGGAGGAGGCTGCGAGTGTGAAGGTGAGCGCCGCTGAACTCGTGTAGTCAGTCTCTGGATCTCGTTGAACATTATTGTTTGTTTGGTTGTTGGCTGAAGGCAGGTTTCTCTCTGGTTTATTTGTGTTTGTAGAGTACTATCCCAACTGTGAGGTGATGTTCATGGGCATGGCCAATATCCACTCCATCAGAAACAGCTTTCAGTCACTCAGAGCCGTTTGCAGTCAGATCCCGGATCCCGGCAAGTAAGTCACTCTCTGTGCATTCTGACAATATATATATATATTAGTGCTGTCAAACGATTAATCGCATTCAAAACAAAAGTTTTTCTTTACATAATATATGCGTGTATACTGTGTATATTAATTATGTATGTATAAATATATACACATGCATGTATATATTTAAGAAAAATGTTGTTTTTATGTTAAATATATTTATAATATAAAATATAAGAACATAAATATATATAAATGTGTATATATATGTAAATATTATCAAAATACCTACATGCATGTGTTTGTATTTATATATACATAATAAATATACACAGTACACATACATAGAATTATATCTATAGATTTAAATATTTTATATGTTTTAAATCATTATTATCGTTTATTGCTCTTGATATTGTGATATTGATATTGGTATTTTTCCACCATAAAAATAAAATAAATATTATTGCAATATTATTAATATTAAAAATAAAATAATATTGCTTTTAATATTATTTTTATTTATTATAAATCAGTATCAATCTCCAGGTAAATCAACTTCAAAGTTTTGTGAATGAGACTAAATGAGATATTATTTCCAGTGGACTCAATTCTGCTGCTTTATCTGAAGCATGATTAGCAGTTGTTGTTATTTTTTTTGCACAATTAATCTCATATCAATATCAGCTGAGAAAAGCCTCTAAATGAAGATCGTTTAAAAACATTGCAGTATAGTGGCTGATCAGTGAAGCATTGAATAGACATTACATTAATTACAAAAAGCGTATTTGTATATTATATGGATATTTATATGTATTTATGTATACATATGTATTGATTTTTTTGTATATGCATTTTGCATTTAAACATAAGCTGATCACAGTACACAGAACTTTTCACAGAAAGTAACTCTTTACTTGAGCATAATGCATTATTTTCTTAAAAAATTGTAACCAAAGTGAAAATGCATTATAATTGCAAATTCCTTGTTACCTCTAAACGTTGTCACGTGTTTTAATGCATTTCTAAAGGTGTAACAATGAGCACGTTTACATGCACGCCAGTAAGCTGATAACTCACAAATATCAGCTTATTAAAATAACCAGTTTTCCCCATTTACATTCACATCAGTAACCTGACAACGCAAGTAAGCGCAGCCGACTCCTCAATAAATGAGTACAAAACAGCGTTTCCTAGTACCTGACGCTTACTGATTGTTTGGAATTATAAATATGAGCGTAGTTCATCTGTTAATATCACATGCACTTTTTTGTTTGTTGTTGTTTTTAGTTTGTTACTCAGACGCAGACAGTGCGCTGCATGAGACAAAAAAGTAATCTAGCCAAAACAACCGCATAGCCGCTCTTTAGTGTAGATGCATGCTGATTTTATCAGACGATGCTGTGATTATAAATGAGAGTGACTCCTGGTTAACATGTATTAAAAGGGGTCGTGTTTAGTCACTATTTAGTGTGGTATTTTTGACAATATTCACTCATCATGACAGTAAAATAGGGCATTCTGAGTCAATATACTGCAGTATTTCCTCTCAATCAGTAGAAAATATGGTTAACACCCGGCCATGCATGAAAAAAAAATACCGTCATGTACCGTGAAACCGGTATAATTTTGAAAAATACCGTGATATAAATTTTTGGTCATACCGCCCAGCACTAGAGGTTACCATTATTAATGAGATCATGCAATGCATTACAAGGTGCATTGCTATTGCATTAAAATTATTTTGGAATGCATTATATATAAAGGCTCAATGTAAAGCGTGTTCCTGATTTTCCAGGAAACACACACTTGTGTTCTGCTTGGTGATCCAGATCAAACATCTGAAGTTGAGCTCTTCCTCCTCATGCAGTGTGTGTCTGTCGTGTTGCGTTCAGACGTTTGTAACCCGACTGGTGCGTCTGCTCTCTCCAGCTGGCTCTCGGCTCTGGAAAGCACCCGTTGGCTGCAGCATCTGTCTGTCATGCTGAAGGCCGCGTCTCTGGTGTGCTCTGCGGTGGAGCGGGAGGGAAGGCCGGTGCTGGTGCACTGCTCAGACGGCTGGGACCGCACGCCGCAGATCGTGGCCCTCGCAAAGATCCTTCTGGATCCCTTCTACAGGACCATAGAGGTAAACGTGAAGAAGAAGAACCACCTTGTGAATTAGTTTTCTCATGGGTTTGATTTGCAGGGAATGCATGAAATTAAATGTGCAACTTCAATGCAAAGATAAAAGCATCTGCCAACTGTAAAATGTTGGCTTTCCAGCAAAGAGATTAATATTAAATGCATTTTTAATTTCAAGTAAGTCAAGTCACATTCGTTTATATTGCACTTCACACAATACAGATTGATTCAAAGCAGCTTTGCAAAATTCATAATTATGAAATTGATAAATATATTGATTCAGCTTAATGTTGATTCAGTGCATCACAGTGTTGATGTTGCAAAGTTCATCATTTGTGAATAAATTTAAATTCAATTCAACCATGAAGCAGCTGTATGGAAGACAATAGTGTTATTATTCAGATTGATTTAGTTCAATGCTGATTCAATGCAGTTCAATTATAGTCTGTAAAGTAAGTTCAATGTTGATTCAGTTCAGTTAGTTCAAACATTAAAGTGTCTTTACACATTTGAGTTATAGCTGCTTTGTACCTGCTTAAAATTCAATGTGAAGATGTAATGCTGCATAAAAGCCAGACTAAATAATGCCTGCTCTGACCCACCTCAGCCCCTAGTCAGGGTTATTATTGTTAACTAAAATTAAAACCATAAAAACACACAATAAAATAAATGTTAACCGAAATAAAATATTTGTATCTTTATATATTATATTGTTTAAATGTTGTATTTTTTATTTATTTATTAAATATTTATATATTACAAATATCTATATTATCTATAAAATATGAAATATCTAGTTGCCAGGGCAACATTTCTCATTTTCATTTAGTTTTAGTTGAAATACTAAACAACAAACTAAATAAACTAAAACTTCTAAAAAATAATAATAATAATTTAACAAATACTATACAGACATTTAAAAATAAAACACACGCACATAATAAAATTACAAAAAAAAAAATAAATAAATAAAACAAAATATTTATATCTATATATAATTTATTAAATATTTAATACTTATTTTATTTAATCTAGTTGCCAAGGCAACACTTCTCATTTTCATTTAGCTTTATATATAATAATAATATGATAATATAATAATAAAATAATAAACTAAATAAATTAAAACTAATAAATAAAAATTAATAAATACTATACAGGCATTTTTTTTTAAAAAAAGACAAAAACACACTGAAATTATTAAATGAATTTTAAATGAAATATATATATATAATTTATTAATATTTAATACTTATTTTATCTAGTTGGCAGGGCAACTCTTAGAAGTACTGAAATAATAAACTAAATGAATACTATAATTAATAAATAAAAATGTATAAATACTAAAAAATGACAAAAACACAACAAAATTGCTCAAACTTTAACTAACATTTAAGTGAAAGAAAATACAAACAATCTAATTCAAGATATTAACAAAAACTATAATAGTGCGTAAATTATACTAAAATAACACTCTTCCTAGAATCAAAGGCAGTTTATTTATGCAGTGTACTGTATTGTCCCGAATATAAGACGATGTTTTTTTCTTGGAAACACATCTGAATTAATATTTAATACTTATTTTATCTAGTTGGCAGGGCAACTCTTAGAAGTACTGAAATAATAAACTAAATGAATACTATAATTAATAAATAAAAATGTATAAATACTAAAAAATGACAAAAACACAACAAAATTGCTCAAACTTTAACTAACATTTAAGTGAAAGAAAATATAAACAATCTAATTCAAGATATTAACAAAAACCATAATAGTGCGTAAATTATACTAAAATAACACTCTTCCTAGAATCAAAGGCGGTTTATTTATGCAGTGTACTGTATTGTCCCGAACATAAGACGATGTTTTTTTCTTGGAAATACGTCTGAAAAAACGCGGTCGTCTTATATTCAGGGTCTAGACTTTGACATGTCAATAATACACCCACAACAATAGGTGGCGCCAAATACGCATAAAACAGGTGTGCCATGAAATACATAATGTAAAGCGTGTTGTAAAGATCGCGAGTAAAAGCTTACAGCTGCATGAGTCGTGACTGTCACGTTAGCCTGATGGGACCAAACTCTCTTTGTGATTTTAAAACGTAAGACAGTACCCAGATTTGAAGACTACAGTAAGATTTAACTTCTACTGTTAATAAGATGTTGGTAGGCTACTATTAGATGGATAGCCTAAATGTCCTAATTCAGATGGGCTACCCGTTTTTTTTTTTTTTTATGGTATATCAAAAAGTGTATATTTTTTAAATGTGATTGAAACATTTTACCCGTTTTTACCACACTTTCAAAACAAAAATTAAAATAGGAAAAATATGCAATATGAGAATAATTGAAGACAAAATGTGTTTTACTGAGAAAAAACAAGATTTGGTTTTTAAAAAGCCTTTTTCCAAAAGGTACATCTGGAAAAAGGGGGGTCATCTTATAATCAGGGTCGTCTTATATTCGGGCCAATACGGTAAATGCATTCATGCCACCTCTGAGCCGCATTAAACAGTGTGTAAATTCATCTAAAAGCCACTTCAGATGCAGCTTCTCGGCCTCCATGGCATTTGCCTGTCAGGCTCATGTCTGATTGTGTCGGCAGGGTTTTCAGGTGCTGGTGGAGACGGAGTGGCTGGATTACGGTCATAAGTTTGCGGACCGCTGCGGTCATCAGGAGAGCGGTGAGGATGTGAGTGAACAGTGTCCCGTGTTCCTGCAGTGGCTGGACTGTGTTCATCAGCTCCTCAAGCAGTTCCCGTGCCTCTTCGAGTTCAACGAGGCCTTTCTGGTGCGGAGCCTTTGCTTTCAATTATGTGTGTCGATATAACGTGTACGATTTAGTAAAAAGGAAATATCTTGTGTATTATGACTGATTTTTTTAATGCATATTCAGAAAAAAGTCATATTTCAAATCCTCTTTTTGTGTTGAATAGTGAAACTACTGTTTCTTTGTGTTTTAGTGATTGAAAAAACTTTTTGACCTCATATATATTTTTTCCATTTGGATGATGGCCAAAACTTTAGTTTAATAAACAGATAGGCCTAAGAATATATATATATATATATATATATAATAGTTTATTAAACAAAAAGTTTTTCAATGTTTTTTAATAATGTATTGTTTGCTTTACTTGCCCTGGAGACATTTTCAAAAAAAATTTTAGCAAAATATTTATATTTCTAGAATTGATTTCATCAGTATTTTTATTAAACAAAAAGCAAAGTTTTTTTTATAAAGCATTAAATAATTTTTTATAAAATATTAAAGAATGCTTTTTTTTAGCAACATTTTAAGTGTCAGTATTTTTAAACCAACAAAAACACATTTTCATTACTTGAAATAAAATAGATGTTAACTAAAATAAAATACTGATATCTTTATGTATTGTGTATTTTTATATGTATTATACTATATTGTTTAAATTGTATATATTTTATTTATTTATTTAATATTTAAATTAAAATGTCTATATTATCTATAAAATATTAAATCTAGTTGCCAGGGCAACATTTCTCATTTTAATTTAATTTTAGTTGAAATACTAAACAAGAAGGCATCAGTATTTTTATTAAACAAAAAGAAACGTTTTATTTATAAAGAATAAAAAAAATGTTTAATAAAATATTAAATAATGCTTTTTTTAGGAAATTTTTTTTTTTTATAAAGCATTAAATGTTTTTATTAAACATTAAGTTTGCTTTACTTGAATAATGTAACTACTTTCTTTTTTTAAATGTATTTAAATATTTTCAAAAACTGATATTTTGTTTCAGCTGCTGATCTTATGAATGTCTAAGGCTAACAAATTTGAATTATACTTCCTTTTTTGATATATAATGTTTCCATAACTTGCGCCTCGACATTTAAATGTCCCTGTTTTTTTTTTTTTTTACAATTTTACACATAAATCTGAGATAAATGGAGTAATTCTATGCAACAGTATTACATAGTTCCCATCTCAATCAATGAAGCTATGGCACTGCATTGACAGAAGTGACCATAACTTTTTATGATTTAGTTAATGTCTCGGTCTTTTCCAGATTGGAAATTGCTATTTTAAAAATCACAGATGTTTAAATGTTTTCTGTGACTGTGAGAATCCTGTTTAAAAGACACATTCAACTTGTTCTCAATTGTTGTGCTTTATTTATGTAATGCCTAGTAAATACAGTGTTATTTATAGATCCTATTATAGTTTCTGTTAATATTTTTAATTAGATTTTCTCCCCCTAAATTAAATATTTAATTTTAGTAAATATTTTAGCTTTTTTTTCTAATTTTATTAGGGTTTTTTTTTATGCCTATACAGTTTTTATTTATTTTTACATATTTTGCCTTGGCAGCTAGCTGAAATCAAATAAAATGTTATATTTTTATGTCAAGTAATGGAAATGTTCTGTAATGGTTTTAGTATTAGTTAACTATAATAAATGATAGCTGTGCTATAGTTATTCTATCAGTGTCCTAACTACACATGACTAATGTCTAATCAGTTACTTTCAACAAGATTCATGCACATTTTGATTAATAATAAGCTTTCAACTATAGACTCTAAAAAAGCAATTTTAGCCAATTAACAAAAACAATTTGTGTACCAGAGAAATTTCCATAACTTTTGAAGGCTTTGTTTATTTCTGTGCGTCTTCCAGACTGGAATGCTCTATTTTGAAATTCACAGATATGTTAAGGTTTTCTGTGACTGCGAGAACCCTGTTTAAAAGAAATCCACACGGTTTGTTCCTCATCTATTGTGATTAGTTTCTGTATTGATTCTCTGGTTTAATGCAGATGTTGGGTTGTTGTTGTGGTGATGTTGGCAGGTTTTGCAGCCGGTCTGTCACACGCGAGCGCTGCAGCTGTGGACGGCTGTGTATCTGCCGTCGTCCTCGCCGTGCACCGCGGCTGAAGATGCCATGGAGATCTACCTGAGCCCTTCGGCCGGAGGAGAGGAGTTCAGCTCGCGCTCCCTCGACAGGTGACTGCTCACATACACTTCATTACTGTGCTAAAAATGCTGCACAGTTCCATATGTGACCCTGGAGCACAAAACCATAAGGGTCCATTTTTGGAAATTGAGATGTATACATCATCTGAAAGCTGAATAAATAAGCTTTCCATTGATGTATGGTTTGTTAGGATAGGACAATATCTGGCTGAGATACAACTATTTGAAAATCTGGAATCTGAGGGTGCAAAAAAATCTAAATATTGAGAAAATTGTCTTTAAAGTTGTTCAAATGAAGTTCTTAGCAATGCATATTACTAATCAAAACTTAAGTTTTTATATATTTATCATATCTTCATGGAACGTGATCTTTACTTAATATCCTAATGATTTTTGGCATAAAAGAGAAATGTATAATTTTGACCCATACAGTTGGCTATTGCTACAAATATCCCCCAGCGACTTAACACTGCTTTTGTGCTCCAGGGTCACATTTGGTCGCATGTTGCTTCACTAAATCTTTATTTGGCCATATTCCAAACGAAAGGTTAATTGTGAAAAACAATATCCCCGAAAGGTATATTATGATGTATTTCCTTCTCTACAGTCAGATTCCAGCACACTTGCTGCCAGTACATTTCAGATTGCAGGACTTTTTTCCTGCTGATTTTACTTGCCCTCAATATGTTTTTTTTTTTTTGTGCAAAATATTAGGTGTCAATATTTTTATTAAACAAAAATGAAAGGATTGTTGTAATGCATTAAATAATTTTTTTTATAAAACATTAAATAATGCTTTTTATTATTATTAATTCAATAAAACATTAAATTTGCTTTACTTTCCCAGGCAACATTTTCATTTTTTTATGCCAAATATTTCTTAACTGTCAGAATTTTTATTAAACAAAAATAAAGTATTTTTTATAAAGCATTAAATACATTTTAAATAAAACATTAAATAATATATATATATATTTTTTTTATAAAACATTAAGTTCGGCTTACTTGCCCTGGTGACATTTTCAGTGGTTTTCCTTAACACGATATTTTTAAGTGTCAATATTTTTAGTAAGCAAAATGCAAAGTACTTTTTATAAAGCATTAAAAACATTTTTTATAAAACAGTAAATAATGTTTAATTTTTTTATAAAACATTAAGTTTGCTTTACTTGCTCTGGTGACATTTAAAAAATGTTCTTTAGAAAAATATTTTTGTGTCAGTATTTTAGAAAAACAAAGTATTTAATAAAGCATTTAAATATTTTTTTTATAAAACAATAGGTTTGCCTGACTTGCCTGGTGATATTTTCAATGATTTTGCTTAGCACAATATTTTTTAAAAGCAACACATTTGTATAAAGCATTATATATATATATATATATATATATATATATATATATATATATATATATATATATATATATAAAACATTCAATAATGTTTCAAACATTAAGCTTGCTTTACTTGCTTTGGTGACATTTTTGACATTTAAAAAAAAAATTACAAAATATTTTTAAGTGTCAGTATTTTTATACAAAAAGTATTATTATAAAGAATTAAATAATGTTTAAAAAAACATTGCATTTGCTTTACTTGCCCTTTTTTGTGAAACTGTCAGTATGTTTATTAAACAAAAAGCAAAGTATTTTTATAAAACGTTAAGTATGCTTTACAAGACAGAAAAGTAAAACGCATTGATATTAAATATAAACCTCGTTTATAAAAATTGTATTTTTTATAAACCCACGTACTACTGAGATGTTTTGTGTGTTCAGATTCTGCCCTCTTGTGGTGAACCGGAGCACATTGTAAACACTGACTTGAAAGCTTGTGTTTTATTTCACTCAGGCTCCCCAAAACACGGTCGATGGACAACTTGGTGTCTGCTTGTGAGAACGGCGTGACGCTCACCCGCACCTCGAGTGACCCCAACCTGAACAAGCACTGCCAGGAGGGACGTCCGGCGCTGGAGTCCAACCAACCCGCGGCCATCCAGAGCCACGGTTCGTCCGAGGACCCACCAATCGCCGGATCGGTCAGCGCTGAGCCGACGTGTGAGGAAACTCATGAGGACGATTTGAGGGCGGAGCCTTGTTTGACAACCCAGCCTCTGCCGTTTTTGCCCCACCCCTTAGCGTTAGATCAAGCCCCGCCCCTTCCGGTTATAAACCAAGCTCCGCCTCAAATTCCAAATAGTTTAGTCAGGACTGCAGAAAACACAAATCCGCCTCCTCTTTGTAACGGCTTTGCACACGTAGAAAACGCTAGCGGATCTGTGAACTCTGAAGAGATTGCGCCATTGGAGGCGTCAGTGGAGACGCTAACGGAGCAAAGCGAGATCCCTCCTTCTGGGAAAGCCACCGCAGTCGAATCACACCTTCCTTTCGAAGCGCCGCTACGAAACGGCGAACTGGTTCCCGCGAGAGAACGGCCGCCACCCGCCGATTACGCCAAAGCAGCGCGCCGTTTGATTTCCCAAAGCCAGCTGACGGAGCTATCACTACTAGGTTCCCAATGGGACAGCGTCCAAGGCCTGGTCCAGTCGGCCTGCGGCGGCGCCATCCAACATGGCAGCTATCACGGCCGCCGACTGGCGAACAAGCTCCTCCGCGGCCGAGGCGGCAGCGCTAACGGCGGGCCGTGTTGTCGTCGAGACCCTCTGCGCGCTCCTGGAAGTCCCATCCAATCGGGTTGGTTCTCTGCGGTGAAGAACTCAAGCTACGCCGCGCTTTGTTCCTCGGCGGCGTCTTCGCTAGCAATGGGACCGTCCTTCCGGCAGCTGCTCCCGTCGCATTCCTCGCCGTCCTCCAGCGGCTCTCCGGCTCCGGCGCACCTGGACGACGACGGCCTGCCGGTGGCGGTGGACGCGGTGCAGCAGCGGCTGCGGCAGATCGAGGCCAGCTACAAGCAGGAGGTGGAGGTGTTGAGGCGGCAGGTTCGACAGCTTCAGCTCAAACTGGAGAGTAAACGGTTCTGCTCGCCGCCCTCCGAACCCGACGTCGACTACGAGGACGATATCGTGAGTTTATGTTCCTTTGCTTGAACATGCAGTACATTTATCGTGGTCACTGTGGGTCCTTAAAGAATCCTACATTCAGTTTAATCAAATTTAAGGACCTAAAGCCTTTAATATCTTAAATGGTGTAACAGAACCATGATATGGCCTACTGTAATTATTAAACTTCAGAAGGCTTAATTGAATTTTTTCTTATGTTTAATCAAACATTTTTGCTATATATATATATATATATATATATATATATATATATACATATGCATACATATTATGTGTGTATATTTATATAAAATTTGTTTTTAAAAAAACAATTTTATACAAAAATAAGTATATATATATATATATTATTATTATTTTTTATTTTTTTTTATGTAATATTTTTTTGTTCTTTGCAAAAAAAATTTTTTATATAAATAAAAATATGTATAATTAGTTTCAAAAACATAAATGTAATAAAAAAATAAGAGTATTTATTTATTTGGAATAATTGTGTTTTTCTGTCAATATGGGGTGCTGTGTGTACATTGAGGAAAAAAAATTAACTTAAATGATTTTAGCAAATGGCTGCAATATAACAAAGAGTGAAAAATTTAAGGGGGTCTGAATACTTTCCGTACCCACTGTATATATATATCATTTGTTTTAAAAACAAAGTAATCCAAAAATTAGGGGAAAAAAATAAATATATATATATATATATATATAAAATTATTATCTTTTTTAAATTTTTGCAAAAAAATATTAATATAAATAAACATGTATAATTAGTTTCAAAAATGTTAAAAATAAGAGTATTTATTTATTTGGAATTACATTTTTGAAAAGGTTATTCTGATCACCAAGGCTGCGTATATTTAAAAAAAATATAATAATAATAATAAAAAAAAATATATATATATATACTGTAAAACTTCCATATTGTGAAATATTATTATAATTTATTTCTATTTAAATATATTTTTAAATGTAATTAATAGCTTTGCTATAACAGGAATAAATTACATTATTCAAATAAAGAAGTTTTTAAATTGCAATAATATTTAATAATATTACTGTTTTTACAGTAAAAAATATTTTAAAAATCATAATTACTCCAAACTTTTTAACTAAAACTTAGTTTATTTAATTGAGATGATATTGTGCATTTTATTTGCGCAAGTCATAAAGGTCTTAAAATGTCTTAATTTCGCTCATTTACTTGTGCATTTAAAATCAGTCTCCTGTGATGCTTGTGATTTGATTCATCGCAGCTGGAGTCTGCTTTCATGACTAGATTAATCATTTACTCTGGGAACTGCAGCACAGTGATGTTTCCACTATAAATGATATGTGACGAGTATCTCGTGTCTGACATCCTCTCTCTCGTCCCTCCAGACGTGTCTGCGTGAGTCGGACGGCAGTGACGAGGAAGACTCTCTGTCCAATCACAGCGAGGATGGCTTCAGCGAGGGCAGCTGGGACCGTGTGGAGAGGAAGGACACAGAGGTCAGTCATCCTCACTCTCTCTGCTGATGCTGCATCGTTAGAGAGTTTAACCAGCTTGTTTCTGGATGCACAGGTCACCAGATGGGTGCCGGATCACATGGCTTCTCACTGCTTCAACTGCGACTGCGAGTTCTGGATTGCCAAGCGGCGGCATCACTGCAGGTGCGGCCCGTTTACTGATTCCTGTCAGCCGTGTAGAAATAGCAGAGCAGTTCAATATCACTTTATTCTTTTTTTCAGGGATTCCCAAGACTTTTTCCCTCTGAGATTTTAAATAATATAAAAAATTATGGTTGGGTAAAAAATATCGATATCTCGATATTAATCGAATCAAATTTTTACGCAGCGATATCGATTCTTAAATCCCAAGAATCGATTAGTCAAGCATGTGTTCAGTTAATGGACCGAACGTTGAAGGTAGGCCTGTCACGATAACAACTTTTTGTTGTGCGATGTATTACCCCAGTAATAATTGCGATAAGCGATATTATTGTCATTTTAAAGACCTTTTTATGCCACTGAATATATAACAATATATATGCAACAGCATAATAATGCAAGAAGGCCTACACACTTCCAAATGACAACAAACTTTTAATTCGTAAGAATATTTAGATCATGGAAATTAAGTATCAAAATATTAGATGCCTAAAAAAACCTGAATAAATAGTAAATGAACATTTTCTTACAAAAAGTGCAAAGTAACGAGTTGAAAAAAAATACACAAAAAAATTATGGAGATTTTTCCCTGACCTTCTTTTCTCTGTAAATGAAGGGTGCACACTATTGCTGAGAAACAGTTCTTGAAGTTCTTAGCAATGCATATTACTAATCAAAAATTAAGTTTTAATATATTTATGGTAGGAAATGTACAAAATATCTTCATGGAACATGATCTTTACTTAATATCCTAATGATTTTTGACATAAAAGAAAAATGTATAATTTTGACCCATACAATGTATTGTTGGCTATTGCTACAAATATCCCCCAGCGACTTAACACTGCTTTTGTGCTGCAGGGTCACATATGTGATTGATTCTCATATCTCATATTTCTCGTAGGAACTGTGGGAACGTGTTTTGTAAGGACTGCTGCCACCTGAAGCTTCCCATCCCAGACCAGCAGCTGTACGACTCGGTTCTGGTGTGCAACACCTGCTTCGACCTGCTGCTGGAGTCCCGCACGCGAGAGCTGCGCTCGCAACAGCTGAAGAAAGCCATCGCCACCGCCTCCAGCTGAGACGGCCAATCACAGCGCGCCACACACGCCGGCGTCCAATCAGATGCTCTCTGCCTCCTTCCCCCCCGGCAACCGCGAGGCCAGGGCGATTTAGAGTCCAGCTCTGAGACCGATCTACACGCGGAACGAGATGGAGGAGATCCAACAAACGAGCGCGGTTTGCGATGGAGGGTCGTTTTTATCTCTGCAAGTGAACTCCAAGCTTCTCTGGTTGAGGCCAGAACTGAACCCAAAGGGTCCTTGGGTTCAAAAAGCCCCCAAAGAGAGGCGTTTCTTCATCTCAGATGCACCACACACAGCGGACAATCACCTCGGCATCTATCGAGAGGCTCACTATTTAAAACCAACCAAGCTGCTACAGTATTTAAAAACTTCTCTATCCTTCTTATTTTGTGCACTACAGAGGGGGTTCCAGACCAAAACGGAGAGATCTGCAGCTGTTTTCTCGCTGTGAAGCTTGAATGTACAATTGTTTGGGTTATTCTTATTTTTGGGGAACTGGAGGGATTCGTTTACTGAATTAAAGCCGCCGGTTTGCATTGATTTGATCGCAGTTTTGAGCACAGAGCGCGACCTATTTCGTCTTTCAGCCGCTCCCGTCAAAACCAAGCTTTAGCTGAACTGCGAAATGCTTTCACTCTCGTTTGATGTGAAATACACGACTTTAAATGCCAAAATCAACCTCGAATTCCAACATATCAATAATATATCAACAAAATCACTGCTCAATTCATGTTTAATCTGGCTGGTTGTGTGTTTGTTGCAGGAAACGCAAGAAAAAAAACAGCAAGCTGAACATTTCTGCTGTATGTTGTTGTGTAAGTTATGGTAAAACTAGCTGCTCCGTCTACGTTAGCGTGTTTCTATCACTTCATCTGAACAAACCAGTGATGATCATTAATATTTTGAATCATTGGAAACTGGTGGCGATTGAAAGGACTTTTGTATTGGAGGGCTCATGATCTCAATAGCATTACACGTGCTAGGATTTCTTTCTCGTGTCGTCTGCGTCTTCGGCTCTACATTGATTGTGTTTTGTTAACGGGGAACCTCTCAACAGTGCCACGTGTTTGATTTTCTCATGGATTCACTGATTTGTAACTTTAACATGTTCAGTGGTACAATAGCTAGAGGCTTAACAACGAGAAGATGATTGGTTGTGAATCGATGAGGTTAAAAACACTGAGAACCCGTTTGATTTTCTTCTCCGTGGTGCTGATGAAGGACACTTTTTTGAGTTAAATGCATTAAAAAAGGAACCCAGAAATGTGATGTATAGTTATTTGGTCTGTAATAGTGGCTAAAATGTGTCACTTAGTGAATAATTGTTGTAAAGAAATGCACTGTACAAGTTCAATCCCATGGGTTAAATAAAAAGATACGTCTTTATCAGCCATCTGTGTTGAGATTATTCATCTTTCCTTTTTGCGTTATGAATTTGTTCAAAATCATACCATGCATGGAGCTTGAATGCTCGACATCAGCATTTTTGTTTTGCTGCAATTTATTTTTCTGTATTATATTTTTAATTATTTAAATTAATTTTTATATACATCCTGTAATAAAAAAATAAAATAAAAATAATATATATATATATATATATATATTTCAGAAACTAATCTCATTTTTATTTAGCTTAACTTGATGTAATAAAACTAAAACCATATAGCCATAAAAACGAAAAATAAGTAAAATTAAAATGTAAAAGTAAAAACTAATTCAAAATATATATATATATAAAAAAAAACTTTTTAAAATGTATGTACTAAAATAACTACAACTGAAATAAAAATTAGACTTAAATTTTTTTTAAATAAAACCGTGAAAGGCAAAATTTAAAAATAAACTCATTCAAAATATTAATAAAAAACTTTTATTTAGTTTAACTTGATGTAATAAAATAACTAAAATTGATATAAAACCTAATAAACATTTATTAAAAATGAAAACAACTCAAAAGGCACAATTTAAAAATAAACACAAATTCAAAATACTGTTTAACAATGTACTAAAATAACTACAACTAAAACTGAAATAAAAAAATCTAAATCTATATACTATATATTAAACATTTTAAAAACTACTATTGAAAATCACTAATAATAACTAAAATTCAATTAACTAATTCAGAATTGTACTGCTTTTATTTTTTATGTGGAAAGCGGCATGATAGGCAACATACAATAGTACTGATTACATGAAGCACATTTCACTATACGTTCATCCAACTAGACCTGCACTTCAGACAAGCATGCAGAAATACAGAATCAACAAAAAATTCATATTTACAAAAAAATAAAAAGTCTTAACATGTGATCTGTAGACAAACATGCTGTGACTATAGTGTTGAAGTGACCCAGTACAATACGTGAACATCGACTAAAGCCAGACTTCAAAACAAGATCTTCTGATTAATTATGTGCTAATCCTTTTTAGCACCTTTCAGTAAAAACATTGTATTAATGCATAAAAGAGTGTCAAGAGATTCTGAAATATTTTTCATATCCATATTCAATCTGATCTGTTAAGCATCAAGCCCTGTGTTACTTTGTAATTTAGGCTAAATGAAAGCTTTTTTTTAAATTACATTTAAGAGATATAATACTGCAGTTATATAATAAAAGCATCCTACAGAAGCTGGTTTTGAAAACACAAACATCAGGCTGATCTTTAAGCAGTAGTTTTATGTATGACTATTAATTACCACTGACTGTTTAAATATTTCTCCATCTATAAAAACAAAGGAACAGTGGCTGGCCTACAAAAAAAAAAAACTATTCACAACCCTTCAACATTACAAATATGAACATAAGACCAGTGAGACTCACACTTACCAACCCTGGTGTGTAAAGTTCATTTAAAGTTTGGTTTAAACACAAGGGTCATATTTCAGCTTTGAATCCCTCTGTATGATTGCTTCATGAGAAGTGCAAAAGCTGACCTCATACGTCATGCTCCCGGAGCTGCTTCCGTGTACAACAGTGAGCGCAAGCTAGATTAAAGTGATTATTACGTTTTGAATATGGATATTTTTCTTACAAAAACACATCGATTCGCTACAGAAGGTCTTTGTTCACCCCCCGGAGCCATGTGAGACACTTTTTTTTATGGATGGCTGATTTTTATTTAACTTCTTTTGGACTGAAGCATGCAACACCCGCTGAGTGCCATGAAACAGCTTGAAAGATCAAAGACAATTTTTAATATAACTCCGACTGGATTCGTCTGAAAGAAGAAAGTCATATACACCTCGGGGGTGAGTGAAACGCAGCCTAATTTTCATTTTTGGGTGAACTAACACTTTAAGAAAAACCCGAAGTGATGAGTGCAATAAAAACTGTCCTATAAAACCCAGTTCACACCAAGGCATATTTTGTCTTGTTAATATGCCAGTTAACATTCATAACGCTCTTCTGCGTAAAATATGAATTTAAGCGAATATGCAAATTCACTCTTTGCCACAAGGTGGCGCTTGTGGAACAGCATAATTGTAGCCATTACATAAAGTAATTCACTATGTTATTACGGGCATTATACGGCGGTAATATGAAAGGAAAATGCCATCAAAACTTTCCTGGATGAAATGTGATTTTACAGGTATAATTTAAACACCATAAATCACACAAAATATTAATTATTCATCGTCAGCAGATCAAACCAACACGGCATGTTGGCATAAATGTGGGTTATTTGGAGATTGCTAACTGCGTTTTTATTTTCGAAACATGACATGCCCACGTTTAGTTAAATCACAGCCGTATAAAGTTTAACAATCACATTTAAGCAATAGGACAATTCCTATTTTTCCATCCCCAGATTTAAAATCGAGACTTCAAAGCAGCACTATTTATGGAACACAGATGACACACAGATTACATCCAAGCAAGTAACTGTATGACGTTACAGAACGTTGTCCGGTCCAGTTCCTTTCCCTCAGCAGTGTTGTGTTTCTGTTAATCTGCTTGTTGACATAAAGATACTCTCTGCTGCGGTTATGCGTTGTACATTCCGCGTACAGTATATCGATGGAACACGTGGAACATATGTAACGGAGGCCAGCGAGTAAGTGCTGTGCAGGTAAACCTCACTCCCCTGATCTCAAGAGACGCACTAGCGATATAATTTAAACACCATAAATCACACAAAATATTAATTATTCATCGTCAGCAGATCAAACCAACACGGCATGTTGGCATAAATGTGGGTTATTTGGAGATTGCTAACTGCGTTTTTATTTTCGAAACATGACATGCCCACGTTTAGTTAAATCACAGCCGTATAAAGTTTAACAATCACATTTAAGCAATAGGACAATTCCTATTTTTCCATCCCCAGATTTAAAATCGAGACTTCAAAGCAGCACTATTTATGGAACACAGATGACACACAGATTACATCCAAGCAAGTAACTGTATGACGTTACAGAACGTTGTCCGGTCCAGTTCCTTTCACTCAGCAGTGTTGTGTTTCTGTTAATCTGCTTGTTGACATAAAGATACTCTCTGCTGCGGTTATGCGTTTTACATTCCGCGTACAGTATATCGATGGAACACGTGGAACATATGTAACGGAGGCCAGCGAGTAAGTGCTGTGCAGGTAAACCTCACTCCCCTGATCTCAAAAGACGCCCTAGAGGCTGCATTCTTTAGCCTCCTTGTTAGTGTGTCCGCCTCCCATGCCGGCGACCCACTCGGAGCGAGAACGAGGTGTGGCGGTGAGGACCCGGGAGAGAGGGGTTACATTGGTGCCGTGACCCGGATGGGAGTGAGGTTTAGGGGGGTGAGTGTAACGGAGGCCATCGAGTAAGTGCTGTGCAGGTAAACCTCACTCCCCTGATCTCAAAAGACGCCCTAGAGGCTGCATTCTTTAGCCTCCTTGTTAGTGTGTCCGCCTCCCATGCCGGCGACCCACTCGGAGCGAGAACGAGGTGTGGCGGTGAGGACCCGGGAGAGAGGGGTTACACATACCAACTATACAAACTGTGTGGGGGGAACCTAAACTGAGCCAATCACTATATAGGCTACTACAACCAGGGAGTCGCTGAAAATGAGTGTGTGAGTTTGTTTACAGAACACTGTTGTCACTGCTGCAAACTCCATATAAATAATTATTCAAATAATATAATTTCCCTGCAGCCAGTGGGCCCCCTTTCCAGTGTAGGCCCCTGGGCTTCAGCCCCTTGAAGCCCGTGCATTAATGCGCCCGTGCCTATAACGATAGAACTGTAATTTTAAAGATCACTCTACTTACCAAAAGCCATTTTAGTCGATTTTTTGGCCAGTTTTTTTGGCCAGTATCACAAAGCACAACAGGCGTCGGGCAGCAGAAGTAAAAAAATCCCATGTTTTCTACACAGAGTGATGAGCATTGATTTTTAGTCGACATAGAACGATTAAACCTTTATAAACAGAACTACCATGGGCTCTGAAGTTGTTAAACGAAGGTAAACGCTTCTATAAAACGCAGAAATCAGTAACACAACTCACATTCAGATCATGTAAACGAGTTCATACAGCATCACCACAATCACCAATTTATTCAAAAAAGCAACTCTAAACATACTAAGTGTGATCTGTAGATAAACATACTGTGACTAAAGTTTCTTGAAGTGATCCAGAACAATATTTGATGCAAAATAAATTTGAATATCGACTATAAAATAAAGCCAGACTTCAAAACAAGATCTTTTGATCCATTATAGCATCTTTCAGTAAAAACATTACTGTATTAATGCATTAAAGATAAAAGACGCATTAATGTACATTAAAACATTCAAGAGATTCTGAAATATTTTTCATATTCATATTCAATCTGATCTGTTAAGCATTAAGCCCTTAAACTTTCTTTGTAATTTTTTATTTATTTTAATAATAGTTAATACTTCCTGAACGCTCACAAAACGTAATAAATAAACAAATATATACACTCAATTTTAAATGCATTAGCCTACTAGTTGTGCTATTATTAGTACTGCAGTTATTATGTAGAAGGCTATAATGATAATAGGCTATTGAACAGTTTTGTACTGGCCATTAGATGTCACCAAACCCACATTAATGACTGTGCTCAGCTGTAGTCAATATTCATAACTGCATATTTCTGTTGTGAAAGTAACTTTATACAAGATATAGCCTAATAATCTCATACACAAATTCGGCCCTGAACAAATCCATTCAATCCGGGTGAATGTTTTGCTGGATTATAGAGCCTTAAATTGGAGAAAATAAATGAATAAATAAAGCAGGACAGAAACAAATAATGATAGATATTACTGAATTCACTGCAAATGCAACAAATTTAATAATGCATTTTTTTTTGTCACATAGAAATGCACTCGACAAGCATTGATATTTGAGCTTGAACGCAGAAAATGTACTGCTAATAAATGCTGT